CACGGAGAAGTGAACAAGCTGAGAGAGAAGGAGAACGGCCTGCGACAACAAGGGGAGTCACTCTGCGGCATGCTGGCAGACATTTACGGCAAGGTAAGGAGGAGACAGATAACCTCACCCCGTGCCCCAGATATAACACCGGGGATGATGTTTTTCCCATTATTCCCCATTATTTATGGTATTTCACCCCTAAAAAAAAAACGGTTGTATACATTATGTATTTGAAAGGATTGTTGTATGTTGAACGTTACCTTTAACACCAGGTGACCCCCCCACGCCCCCACCTCCTTCAATAGCAAATATCTCCGCTTCTATTCAAGAAATATGGTTACTTTTTTCACCACAAGCAAGAAAAATTGAACACACTTAAAGCCCAAAAATTGACAAGCGTCCGATTCACAGTGTTGCGATACAAAACCCCCAGAAAATTGGCACAATTCATATGGGGTCAATCAGAAAATACCGCGGATGTTGTTTTTCCCATTATTCCCCATTATTTATGGTATTTTCACCTGGGAAAAACAAACTGGTTGTTATTCTATGTATTTGTTTTCTGATTGACCCCTATGAATTATGCCAATTTTCTGAGATTTTTGTATCGCAACACTGTGAAGTGGACGCTTGTCAATTTTTGGGCTTTAAGTGTGTTCAATTTTTCTTGCTTGTTGTGAAAAAAGTATCTGTATTTCTTGAATAGAAGTCGAGATAATTGCTATTGAAGGAGGGGGGGGGTCACCTGGTGTTAAAGGTAATGTTCAACATACAACTCCTTTCAAATACATAATGTATACAACCGTAATCTAACAAAGGACACACACACAGAAGGACAATGTCTAACCACTGTGGCTACTGATCGCACTTGTTGTTGGAAGAAAAATTAAACGAGTTAGTAAAATATAATTTAAATTCTTGAAATCTTTTAATTCACCTTCGTTGACACTTTTGAACATTCTGAAATCTTTTTATAATACACCTTTGCAGCCAGTTCTGAACATCAAAAAGATTTATTTAATTCACTTTACTGTCACTTCGGAGCGTTTTGTAAAGTTTTCTAAATTCATTTTTGCAGCCGGTTCCAAACATTCCTGAAATCTTCAAGAGCAAGAAGCGGAACAGGTCGCCGAGCAAGACAGAAGTTCCGTCCTCTCCAACAACGCTGATCAATCCGTAAGTGAAAGATTTATGCCCTTTTTGGAACTCTTTAGGTAATCCAAGAAGCAGGACCTTAGAATTAATTTGCTTCTCAATAAGATAGGAGGGACGGAAAAGAGAGAAAATTCTTTTCGATCAGTTCTCAATGTTTCATCCCCCACCCCAAATTGAATTGGCTTGTCTTTTCGTTTCAAATTAATATATACCAGTGCCTTGTCATATATATCTAGACTATAGCAAAAGACCTTACACTTGTAGACAAGAAAAGGAGTGATGTCCCTGTCGTAGCTGTTGACAGATCTTCCAGGCATCCCTGATTGTTTCATTGGTCTCAGGATGTGGAAGTCTCTAAGTGTAAACCTAATTCGTGTTCTATTTTGCTCATTTGTTCTCTGCTTACTTTCTTCTTTCTGCCCCCCAAAGTATAGTGTACCCCCCAGGGCAGTGCCACTGACTGTAGTGTCTTTAGGCCATTCCCAAAGGGGGAACATTTCGGGTTCATGCACAGTAGAATTGTAAATGGGCTGATTCATCAATGTCACACCCTTAACTGTGGCTAATCTACAACAGGGAACTGCTGTTTTTTATATCCTGATCCTTACTATTGTCATTTTTCCTCTACTTCTTTTGTATGTTTGTCACACTCTTGTGACCCACTATTTCCGGGCTGCCTTGATAGTCGAAGCAGACTTTATGCTGTTGAAGCTATAGAGGTGAGCAGAGTAAGTCTGATTCCCTGTAAGGGCTTCTCAGTTAACATTCACCCTTGGTGCTCATATGACCTTATGCAGTTGCGAGCGCCGTAATACCCCTAGTAAAACTAAAACTAAAAGTATAGTTTGTGCTGTGAGAATGAATTAGTTTGTCTTTTCCTTTCTGATTAAAACTTACAAGTGCCATGTTTAATTTTGCTCATTTGTTGTCTGTTTGCTTCTCCTCTCCCCCCCCCCCCCAAAAAAAAAAAAAAAAAAAGATGTGGCGTGTGCTGTAAGACCAACGAGCAACACCTGATGGCCAAGTGCGACAGCTGCAAGAAACATTACCACCTGGGCTGTCTGGACCCGCCGCTCACGCGCATGCCCAAGAAGACCAAGTTGTTTGGATGGTGGGTGCTGGTTATCACAGGGTTTCTTCTTCTAGTATTTAACTTTTCTGTGTAGATACAGTCAGGTGGTGGGTGGTGGTTATCACAGGGTTTCTTCTTCTAGTATTTAACTTTTCTGTGTAGATACAGTTAGGTGGTGGGTGGTGGTTACAGTTACAACAGAGCTTTCTGCCCTTGTATAAAACTTTTTTGGGTAGATACGGTTAGATGGAGCGTGGTGGTAACTACAGTATTTCTTGTCTTTGAAAGAAAACCATTTCAGCGCAGATACGGTTAGATGGTGGGTGCTGGTTATAACAGAGCTTCTTGTCCTTGTATAAAACTTTTCAGGATAGATACAGTTACATGGTGGGTGCTGGTTATGACTGGGCTTCTTGTTCTTGTATAAAACTTTCCAGGATAGATACGGTTACATGGTGGGTGCTGGTTATAACAGAGCTTCTTGTCCATGTATAAAACTTTCCAGGATAGATACGGTTCCATGGTGGGTGCTGGTTATAACAGAGCTTCTTGTCCTTGTATAAAACTTTTCTGGATAGATACGGTTACATGGTGGGTGCTGGTTATAACAGAGCTTCTTGTCCTTGTATAAAACTTTTCAGGATAGATACGGTTACATGGTGGGTGCTGGTTATAACAGAGCTTCTTGTCCTTGTATAAAACTTTCCAGGATAGATACGGTTACATGGTGGGTGGTAGGTTCTCTTTGTATTGCTCTTGTCTTTTTCTCTTTCTTGTGATTCCCCTCAACGCTCGGAGGCTGGCCTCAGCGGTGAAATAAGCTGTTTGGAGAAGCTGGTCTATACAGTTTCTCATGAAGTGGGTAGTACAGTGGAACCTGCTGTAACGGCCACCTGTAAAAGACCATCACCTGTACAAATGGCTGCATCCCTTTCCCCTCCTTGTGGATTTTTAAAAGATATTGTAATGACACTGTGTACGATGGCATTCAAAGTTAGTGCCTACATTAATTGATTCCGTCCATTCGACCGCTGTGAGCGGCTCAACGAAATCCGAAACAAATGTGCACTTTATAACATAGTTCCGACTTTTTAAGTTGTCGAAAGGAAGTAGAACTTGTAAACAAACCTGTGAGTGGCTCAACGAAATCCGAAACAAATGTGCACTTTTGAACATAGTTCCGACTTTTTAAGTTGTCGAAAGGAAGTAGGACTTGTAAACAAACCTGACCTCAATCTCTGAGCGCCAATATCGATCGAAACTGTGCGAAATTCTTGCAAAAATTGTTGTTTTGTTGTCGCTATGTAGGCTAGATCTAAGGGTAAACAACACAGAGCCTGGTATAACAAAAGGCCCTTCAAAGAAAGATATTCAACTGAATTTGTTAAATTCTTGCATAGATGTGTGCTAGGTGATATCGCTACAATTTTGTGTTGATTCCTATGGATTGTAAGGACTTGTAGAGGTGAGAAAATGCGGTAAGTCGAAATTTTCGAAGAGGTGTTGCGCAATTTTTTTTCCTCATTCGCTTTTGTCTGGCGGAAAATACAATACAGACAGATTATAGGTCATTGTTATTGATATAAACAGATTCCTCTGTTGATTCCCATCACTCTGGTATATGACAATACCTATTAGAGTTACTTAGAGCTTCACAGTTATGTATTAAATAGATGCACCCCAGGTCTAAAACTGAACAAGGAAAAATAATTTTGTCCACAGCCTAAAAAGATCATGGACGGAATCAGTTAAATGCAGCGGAGGGGAATTTCACACTAAGAGAGCAGCTGTTGAAAAAGCCAACTTTTTAAAGATTTTACACGGGCATAGTTTTAGGTTGTTTTCTGTTTTAAAAAAATCGATTTACTATAAATTTTGAGATGAAATCTAATCCTGTAGTACATATGACATGTGAGGTCTTTGTCCAGCCCCTCTTCACGTCTGTGATATGTCTGCCCTCTGCCCACAGGCAGTGCAGCTTCTGTGTGGTGTCCAGCAGCGACGAGTCCATGACCAGCGCCCCCAATGTTGACCAGCCGCGGAGACTCCGGGAGACCATCAAGGAGCCAGACAAGTTCTTCCACCTAAGTCACATACAAGATTCTCTGAAGGTAGCGCAAAGCACAGAGCATTCAGTTCTGTTTTGGTTTCTTCTTCTCTTTCCTTCTCTTTTTCCCTCTTTCTCTCTCTCTCTCTCTTTCTATCTCTCTCTCTCTCTCTCTCTCTCTCTCTCTCTTCTCTCTCTCTCTCTCTCTCTCACTCTCTCCACTGTCTCTCTCTCCTCTTTTCTCTGTCTCTCCTCCCCTCCCCTTCTCTCTGTTACATGTCCTCAAAAGTTCTTTGGTCGGCTTTATTTGTCAAACAGAGAGAGAGAAATAGATAGATAAACACACAGAGAGAAATAGAGACAGAGAGAGAACTAGATGGATAAGTAGACAGAGAGAGAGGGAGAGAGAAAAATAGATACATAGATAGACACAGAGAGAGGGAGAAATAGATACTTAGACAGAGAGGGGGGAGAGAGAAATAGACAGAGAGAGAGGGAGAGAGAAATAGATACATAGATAGTCAGAGAGAAAGAGGGAGAGAGAAATAGATACATAGATAGTCTGAGAGAAAGAGGGAGAGAGAAATAGATACATAAAGAGACATAAATAGTCTTCACATGTCTGTCTTGTCCCCCCCCACAGAGCCAGCAAAAGAAAAGTCTCCTGTCCAAAAAGAGCAAGCAGAGGAGGATGGCCGCGGCCAAGAAAGTAGCCAAGACGTCCAGCTCACCCACCGGCATCACTTCCTCGGTTTGTGCCTGCTTGTGTGTGACCGGATCCTGTTGAAAGTTCTGTGGAACGTGTACCCAATCGATCAGTTGATCAATCAATCCCTGCTTGTCATCACTTCCAAGTTCTTGTTTTTAGAGTAGGAGTGGCCAAATTGTGTTGATATTGGCGTGAAACAAGTGCCCAATATATCGACTGATTGATCAATCCCTGCTTGTCTTATCTTCAGGTTTTTGTTTTTAGAAAAGTGGCCAGGTTGTGTTGATAGTGCCATTAAACACGTAATCATTTCATCAATGTCAGCGGGTGGTTGGCGGGTGCTCTGGTGTGGTTTGCTCCTTCTTTACTATCAAATATCTATCATCCTTATCTTCCCTTCTTCTTTTTTATGTTTGTTACTCTCTTGTAACACCTCTAATCTTCTGGCGCTCATATGACCTTATGCAGTTGGGAGCGCCGTAAAACCTCTACTAAAACTTAACTTAATCAATGTCAGTTTCTGTGATTTCATATTTCATTACTTTGACGAGTGCCTGATTTCACTACAATTCCACGCAATTGTTTAGGAAATGAAACAGATTTTTTTTTCCTCTGTCCTGAAAACTTTTGCTCTCCAGGCATAGAACATTTGAACAGCTTGCTGACGTTATATAGATATGGATATAAATATAGAAATTCATCAGCAGTGAGGTTATTGAACACACAATGAAACGGAGAGAGAGAGAGAGAGAATGTTTTAATGTTTTACTGAACAGATTGTAGCACGAGAGACATATATTTACTAATGTCCTGTCTTGTTGAGTGAATATGTGAGTGCACCTAACCTTCCTTTGTTACATCTACTACCATTGTAAACGACCAAGACAGATTTCTCCCTGCGAGATGAATAAAGATTGTCATTGTCATTGTCATATCCCTATTGCTAGCCACCCTTCTCTATCCCTGTCCTGGTTCTGTTCCGTCCACAGAGACCCGCGTCCGCCCGCAAAAAACAACCGAGCCCCAAGGCAAGGGCTTTGGCCGCGACGTCTGACGCGGTGAAGACACCCAAGATGTCCGCCAGCCCCTCGTGGTCGGGGCTGGCTGGTCTGTGCGGTGGGTCGGAGGGTCAGGGCTTGGTGCCTCTGGATATCATGTGTGTGGTGTGCAACAAGGACGGGACCGTCGCAGACACCGTCAGGTGAGAGATGGCTGGGGGATTGGGCGGGTTTTGTTTTTTTTACTTTGGGTTTTTTTGTGGGGTTTTTATGTTGTGTTTTTTATTTCCTAGTGCTGTTTTTTTTTCTTGCTTAGTTTTTTTTTAATTTTTGGTTTTGGTTTTCTTTGGTTTTAATCCTCACTTTGTTTTGTTGTGGGGGGAGGGGGGGGTTGTTTTATCCCTTGCTTT